CACAGCTCACAGCAACCTCAAACTCTTGGGCTTAAGCGATTCTCTTGCCTCAGCCTCCCAAGTAGCTGGGACTACAGGTGCCCACCACAATGCCTGTCTATTTTGTTGTTGTTGCAGTTGTCATTGTTTTAGCTGGCCCAGGCAGGGTTGGAACCTGACAGCCTTGTTGTATGTGGCTGGAACCCTACCAACTGAGCTATGGGCACACTGATATAAAGGGCATAGCATTTACATATAACCTACACACATCCTCCCAAACACTCTAGAACATCTCTGGATTATTTACAATACCTAACACCATGCAAATGCCATGTGAACGATGGTTATGCTATCTTGTTCAGGGAGTCAGGAAAGGAGTGTGGGTGTGCTCAGGACACACACAACCATCACAGGCCATGCACATTATGTTTTCCTTCTGCTGTTGATTGAATCTGAGGATGTGGAGCCTGCACATATGGAGGGCAACTATATTTGATTAATTTTATTCCATGAAGCTGAAGTTGGTCACCAGTGTTAAAGGCGGTGGGCCCCATCTTCCCTGCTGGCCAAGCTCTCTGGGCACCCCCACACACACAGCAGGGGCTGGGGAGGGCAGGGCAGGGAGGGGAGGGCTGCAGGGGCAGCTCTGGCCGGGGGGCCTAGGAGGGGAGGCACACTCTGCTGTCCTGTGTCAAGGTCAAGGCAGACCCCTTTGGACCCCAGCTGCTCTCTTGCAGAGGTGTGTGGTAACTGTAGGATCTGAAATGACAGCTCTATGACGTGGTAGGGCTGCTAAGTGGCTGGCCCTTAACTGTTCCCAAACAGGGTGTTCCCTCTACACCACTGGTCTGCCTTTGCTCAGGAGCCAAGCTTCCATTAGCTAGCAAGTTTGGTTATGCAACCTTGAGGACAGCCGCTCCCAGAAAGGCCACCCCCACCCCCAGGCTCCAGCTCTTGCCTACAGTGCGCCATGAGTCACTGTCAACACTCAGGTCTCCGCAGGCAGCTGCACACTCTGCCCACTCTGGGGCAAAAAGCACAAGGTAGGGGCCAGCAAGTGGGGCTTGGGTTTCTGAGCAGAGTCTCCATCAGGTCACACTGACCTCTCCCCTACCTGCTGCCATCCCCTCCCCAGGTGTGAGGAGAGGAGCGGAGCCCGAGAGGAATAGAAGCCACTGGGACATCATACCCCCTAACTACCAGCTTGCCCCACATCTAGAATCCCTAGAGCTGCCCAGGCCCACAAGCCCAGCCAGGGTCCTGCTTCTTCCTTTCCCCAAGAACAGTGGCAGTCAGTGTCCTGCTTGGAAACCCACTATGATCTGTACATTTCTAGCTCTCCCTTCCCCACCCCACCAACAGGTCACATAGGAAGCACAAGAACGGGACAGCATCCCTTTAGTTCCCCTGAGACCAGCTGTCTGGCCAGCCTCCCTCCCCCCGGGGCCCTTGGACCTCCTTTCCAGCTGAGAGGCAGGAACCAACCTCTTGGGGACTGTCAGCCAGGCTGCCTTCTCTCCAGGGGACACTCCCTTGAAGAATGAAATCCACCAGCTTCGAGTTCTGGAACGTGGCCCCCTCCAAAGCCATGGCCCTATTGGCAGCTGCCACCGTCCTGCAGAGGGCTTCGAGCCTGGCCCCATGCTGGGCAGCCTCCTGCTGCATAGCCCTCAACAGCTCCAGGACCTCGGGCCACATGGCCTGAGTTTCAGCTGAAGGAGCACCATTGGCCCTAGCTGAGCCCAGCGTGCCAGCAGCCTCCAGCTGGTGCAGGCCTCTCTGCAAGTGGCCCAGGCCTTGGCCCAGGCCCTGCAGCTTCTCTGTAATGTCTTCTTGGAAATGCAGGAGTCTATCGACCTTCTCACTCAGTGCGCTAAGCTTCTCGTTCATGCTGGTCAAGCAGGCCTTGCCTAATGCCGGCAGTCCCCGGGACCTCAGGCTCTCCTGGGAGGCTCCTGACATCCTAATGCTTAACAAGGGCAAGGGTGAGGGAACAGAGAGCCACAGACCTCTGGTTTTCACTTAGGCGGTGGTGTCTGGAAGGTCATTGTCCTTGGTCACTAACATCCTCGCCCAGCAGCACCAACCTACACTGACCACTTGGGCTGTCCGGGGGTGCAGAAGACCCGGTTCTCTCTGTGCCTTTGCTCTGCTTTATCTCCCAGCCTGCCATGGGCTGTGAGTGAAAGACTGAGTCTGGCCCAGGTCCTTCTCTTTGGGGCCCCTTTGACATCATGGCAGCATTTGACATTCCTCTTTGAGAGGCTGCTGATGGGCAAGTATTTTAAGAATCTGCCCAGGGCAGGCAGAGATTCATGTAGCTGAAGCTGAAGGTTAGAAGGACCTGTCAAGGGGAAGCTACAAGGGCGTCAGGGACCCCTTAGGGACTCTGGGACAGAGCTAGACCTTCAGAAGCTGAAAACACTGAGGCTACACGCTTTGAATTTACAATAAAAAGCAAGACCAAAACCAAAAAAATGCATTCAACAAAGTTTTGACTTTTGTTATGATGAAACTGTTCATGCTTCTGCTAATTAAAAACAAATTTTGAGTGCTTCTATGTTGTTGATGGCAAACACATGTGTTTAGACTACCCAGAGGCAGTCACAGGCAGCCCTACACACAGGGCCCTTGGTCATTAGTCACCTAAAATAGAACCGAGGGACAATGGCCTGGGTGCTGGTCAAATGCCATTGAGAGGGTCATGTTCCTTGCAGAGTCCTCTGGGGGACATTTACTAGAGACCCTGCTCCCCGAGTAATGACTGTGTAGATATCACACACTCGATTTCTAAAATGAAATAAATCAGCAGGGCCTAGAGACCAGTGGGGCTGTGTTTCCGGTGATTGCAAACATTTTGGCCTCAGAAACCCCTGATGCTAATGAAATCTTTTACAGACACATTAATAAGTCAAGCAGGCACAAGCACAGCTGTATGGGGCTCATGGGGGCACCTGCGAGTCCCTGGGGTACTATAGCAGCCTGTTTTACCCCATTTTTATCCAGCTCCTCAGCAGGAGAGAGCAAGGCCCAGAGAGGGAAATTGGTCCCAGGTCACCCAGGTACATAGCCTCCTGGCAATGGATGGTTCAGACATGGTCAGTACGGGGGCCATAGGAGGGGGTTCAGTGTCTCCTAAGCTTCCCCCTTCATGCTTGGCGCCTATAGCTCAGCAGCTAGGGTGCCAGCCACATACACCAGAGGTGGCAGGTTCAAACCCAGCCCGGGCCTGCCAAACAACAATGACAATTACAACCAAAAAATAGCTGGGTGTTGTGGTAGGCACCTATACTCCCAGCTACTTGGGAGGCTGAGGCAAGAGAATTGCTTAAGCCCAAGAATTTAAGGTCGCTGTGAGCTATGACACCACAACACTCTACCAAGGGTCACATAGTGAGACTCTGTCTCAACAAAAAAGGGGCACTCCTGTGGCTCAAAGGAGTAGGGCGCCAGCCCCATATGCCAGAGGTGGTGGGTTCAAACCCAGCCCCAGCCAAAAAACTGAAAAAAAAAAAAAGGTTCCTCCTTCTGAGTCAAGGCAGTTATGATAAACTGACCAGGAAATTTGACATCTAAAAGCACTGTTAGGTGGTTTTGCTGTTTAAGCCACAGATGAATCCCAGTGCAAGACACTTACTGTGCACATGCATTTGGACACAGCCCCATACCCGACCCTCTGTGTCCCTAAGCCCCTCTGGAGAAATCCAAACCCATTTCTATGAGTTCAAATGCAAAAAAAAATGATATCAAGACTCCAATTCGCATGGAGAGACTGACCTCCCACATTGGCAAGTGAGCATTACCGATCAATTTCTGAAGATAAAAAGCTGTTGGAGGAGTAGTGACTGGGGAAGTGAGAAAGAGAACAACACAGCCCAACCCAGCATGAAAGCAAGCCTAGCAAACAGAGAGCCAGTTTTCCGCACAGAATACTAAGGGCCCCACTGGGGGAACAAGACAGGAGTCCACCCCAAACAGTAGCTCCCCTCCTTCCTGACACCCTGCAATTTGGACCCCGCCCTCCCTGGGGATCACAGTCTTTTTCTGGAGAAACTCAGTAGTCAGCAACACAACAGCTCTGTATACGTCATCCTCAGCAAAGCCAGAGAGTTAACTAGCCTAAACCACTTACCCAATTTTTAGTACCTTATTCTGAAATACACACAGACAAAAAGGGGTCACCTGCTATGAAAAGGGGCGACCCAAGCAAATAAACAGAAACATGATCACAGAGGAGATGGAGAAAATGAGACACGGAGGGAAGTTCCAAAGGCTGTCATTTGTAGGCACAGAAAATTGCTAATGGCTATTCTATCCCATTCACTAAAAAGTAAAAGAATGTTGTGGACAAAGAACCATAGAATTTAAAAAAGAGGCCTTGGAACTTAAAAACATACATACTAAAGTGTAAAAATTTGGCTCGGCACCTGTAGCTCAAGTGGCTCTGGTGCCAGCCGCATACACCAGAGCTGGCGGGTTCGAATCCAGCCAGGGCCCGCCAAACAACAATGACAACTACAACCAAAAAATAGCTGGGCCTTGTAGCAGGTACCTGTGGTCCCAGCTACTTGGGAGCTGAGGCAAGAGAATCACTTAAGCCCAGGAGTTGGAGGTTGCTGTGAGCTGTGACTCCACAGCACTCTACCCAGGGTGACAGCTTGAGGCTCTGTCTCAAAATAAAAATAAAAATAAAAAATAAATAAAGTGTAAAACTTCAATATAGAGTTTAGAAAATAAAGCTAAGATGATATCCCCAGAAAACAGAACTAAAAGGTGAAGACATACACAGGAGAGAAAGGCTGCCAGGTAATGTGTCCCCTGGTCTCATATCTAATTAGTTCAAGTTTCAGGAGAAGAAATGGGAAAAAGAGGGGAGACATTTATCAAAGACCTACTATAGTCATTATAGAACATAGCCATACAGAGAAGATTATAAAATCTCCCTGAAGTTTAAAAGAAAAAAAGATCACATACTTGGCTTGAATATTTGTCCCCTTCAAAACTCATGTTGAAATGTAATCCCAGTCTGGCAATATTGGGGGGGGGGCCTTTAAGAAGTGATTGGATCACGAGGGTCTGCCCTTGTGTATGGATTAACACATTTGTGTATTAATGGGTTAATGGGTTATCATGGAAGTGGGACTGGAGACTTCCCAAGAAGAGACTTGGGCTAGCACACCCAGTCCCTTGCATCACCTCGGGACGCTGCAGAGAGATCTCACCAGCAAGACAGTCCTCCAGAGATGCAACCCCTCAACCCTGGAATTCTCAGCCTCCATAACTATAAGAAATAAATTTCTTTAAAAATTACCCAGTTTTGGGCATTCTGTTGTAAGCAACAGAAAATGGACTAAGATACACATGAAAGAACTAGAAACACAATGACGTCAGATTTCTGAACCTGCAAACAACTGGGTGTTAAGAACAGGCTGGATGTAGAATTATTGATTGGAAAGCATTTCCCCTCAGAATTTTGAAGACATTTGCACCATTGTCAGAGGGCAGGATGAAGAGTTTTATGATTTGCAAAAATACAAAAAACATATGCTTGCTTTCTAAGGAAATTGCTTTGAGGATGTGCTCCAATAAAATGAAAGAGTAAACAAATTAAAAACAACAAAAAAGGGTGGCGCCTGTGGCTCAAAAGAGTAGGGCGGAGGGGGCGGGTTCAAACCCAGCCCTGGCCAAAAACTGCAAAAAACAAAACAAAACAAGAAAAAAGGCTCCAGGAAACACAAGCTTCAACACAGGTCCAGCTTCAAGCGGAAGAATGGAGAGTACCCCACAGGAATGAGTGCAAGGAGGAAAAAGACCAGTATACACTAAAAATAACTAAAGACTAGTTTTTCCCTAACCCTGAAGGCATGAGTTCCTCTATAAAATAATAATAATAAAATAAATAAAATAAGAAGTTAAGAGCAGTGATTTTCTTCCCCCCCTCCCCAAGACAGAGCCTCAAGCCATCCCCTGGGTGCAGTGCTGTGGCACCACGGCTCACAGCAACCTTCAACTCTTGGGCTCAAGGGATTCTCTTGCCTCAGCCTCCCAAATAGCTGGGACTACAGGCACCCACCACCATAACACTCGGCTATTTTTTGGTTGCAGCTGTCAATGTTGTCTGGCAGGCCCCAGGCTGGATTTGAACCCACCAGCTCAGGTATATGTGGCTGGCACCTTAGCTGCCTGAGCCACAGACTCCGGGCTGAGAGCAGTGATTTTCAACTGGTGTACTGTGGAACACTGGTGTGCAGTGAGAGGATCTTAGGTGTCTTCAAAAATTATTAAAGATCATTAATTAAATTATTTTTAAAGAACTTCAAAGCACAGTTAAGTATATTCTTTTCTCATTTCTTTTTTTGATCGACATAATTTAAGTGTGATGGGGAAATTCAACTATAGGTTCAAATGTGCTGGGAGATAAAAAATGTTGAAAAACACTGGTGAGCTCAGCGCCTATAGCTCAAAGGCTAGGGAGCCAGCCATATACACTGAGCTGGTGGGTTCGAACCCAGCCTGGGCCTGCCAAACAACAAGGACAAATACAACCAAAAAATAGCCGGGCTTTGTGGCGGGTGCCTGTACTCCCAGCTACTTGGGAGACTGAGGCGACAATCACTTAAGCCCAAGAGTTTGAGGTTGCTGTGAGCTGTGACACCACAGCACTCTATCAAGAGCATGGGGGCCATACTGTCTGGATTTAACTCCTGCCTCTGCCAGTTATCAGTCAGAATTGTGGGCCAGTGTTTACTTAACCTGAGTCTTCACTTCCTGGCGTGTAATATGATAATAACAATGCATATGCTTCATGGAGTGGTGGGGAGGGTTCCATGAGAAAGCATGGAAGGCATCTAGAACAGTGCTTGTGCCAGGGCATGGGGGCTTGCACCGGTAATCCCAGCACTCTGGGGTGCCAAGGTAGGAGGATCCCTTGAACTCAGCAGTTGGAGACCAGCCTGAGCAAG